AAACTTTGGATGGAAACCTAACCAAACTAGAACTAAGGAGAAAAATCCTAACAATGAGAACAATAAACCAGTGGAACAAATTGCGTTCAGAGTTTGTGGGTACCCCAACAATGGGAGTTTTTAAGAAGAGACTGGACAGCCATATATCAGAAACAGTACAGGTCTCTGTTCTGACCCCCACCTTGTCCGTTCAGAAATGAAAGCCAAACAGAACATTCAAAGAAATGTTTTTATCAGTCCCGGCTCTTGCTGGCTGCGAGCCCAAAATAAACACAGATAATTGCTCTGGCAAAAGTCCTATAACTCATAAACTACTGCAAAAGACGGTTATATAAATCAAGTCACTTATCAAAATAGGTTTTTCTCGATGTTTGCACGTGAACGGGGAACGTTGACTTCTGCAACCAGGGCGTGGCACCATCAGTCTCTTTTATCAGCAGGAGATCCTAACAAGCAACAGCTGCTCATCATCTCCTGTGAGTCCTCAATTGTTCCTTACATGGTCAGCCCTTCTCCTGCGTGCATCCCGAAACAACTCACAGGAGGTTTCTGTGTCAGCCTCTCTTGTCTCCTCCCCACTGATCCAAGGCTCAGTTGTTACCTGGGGACCAACTAGTCTCTCTGCACCCTGCTCGGAGTCAGAACCCTGCCCAAGGTCCTCCGCATCTTCCAGGGCTGACTCATAGGGCCCCTCGCTGTCAGAGTCTGATAGCAGCTCCAAAGGCTCCTGCCGAGCCACAACGGGTCTCCTACTGTAGCAGGGAATTGGACTAGATGATCTCCAAGGTTCCTTCCAACTTTGTTACTCTGATTTAGTTTCTCTATTTGGGGAAGGAAATATCTCTAAAATGCTAATCCAACAGGGCACGGTTGTCTAGAATTTTATAAACCTGAACAGATAAGTTCTAGAAGCTTTGTATGGTGGGAAAAAAACCACATTGTTCACTAGAGTCTTTCCCCCCTCTTCTTTTCCTTAGCAGTGTAGTCTGTCAAATGCGTCAGAGAGTAGCAGATATAACAGAGTAGGAGGGAAGACAACCAGCAGGAATATGACTTACACCAGAACTCGGTCTAATGATGCTATGGTTGTGTGAATTTGCCACCTTACAAATATATGGTCCATATCATACTACAGCGCATCAGAATTAAGAAAGGGATACTTCATTCTTCTGCTGAAAGGCTTCTATTCCAAATTGTAGTAACTGTGGAGATCCACTAACGAGGCAGAAAGGGGAGAGAGGGAGCTAAAATATGTTGATTCATCCTATCTCGCTCAGTGGTGGGTTCTTAACCAGTTTACTACCAGTTTGCTAAGTGCATGTGCGTGCAATTGAACGAAAATTATTTCGAAAAAAAGGAAAACAACTGAGGAGCAGGAATTCAAGCTGCCGCCCTGGATCAGCTGGGCTTCGGAAGCTGGAATAAAGGTAAATATAGCCCAGGGACGAGCGGACGGCCCACTTTTTTAAAAAACAGAGAACCGGTTCATTCTCTTTTTGAAGGCAGCACTACCAGTTTGGGAGAACCGGTCCAAACTGGTAGGAACCCACCTCTGATCTCGCTATTGCTAGCTAGGCTTTGAAAGATTAGTTGGCAACAAAATGGGCTAAGGTCATTTTTCCTCTAGAGCAGTGTTTTTCAACCTTGGCGACTTTAAGTCCTGTGGACTTCAACTCCCAGAATTCCCCAGAGAGTTGAAGTCCATAGGACTTAAAGTCGCCAAGGTTGAAAAACACTGCTCTAGAAACTTAGTGTATCTCCCAACTATTGTTGTGCCAAAATTACAGATTTGTTTAAAACATTTCAGTAATGACTGAGCAAAGTTATGAAAATGCTGTATGCAAGAGTACAGAATACAACTTCAAGCAGATGGCTTTCAGAGGCAGTCACATTCAAAAAGGGCAAATAGCCCTAGGTTCTCATAATTTCCATGAATTGGTCCAATTTTTTTGAAGCCAGCAAAGCTGGTAGCCTGCATCACTTCTCATGGTAGTGAATTCCAGAGTTTGATTACCCTGTAATGAAGGCTGTAATCCACTAATAGAGAAAAAGGTGTAACTATAAATAGCAGATTTTCCCAGATCAACTTTTGCCTCTGTTGTGATTCTAGTTATAATCCACAGAAATTTGTCTTTCTGTGCCACGATCCCTGAGGTTTATGCTGACCACAGGATGATTAATTTAATGTAATTAGTGGAGATCCCAAGGGCAGAATCACTCCTTATGCCTGGGAGACAGTATTACAGTCCTTTACTTAAGACTGGATGCTTAGCCATTGTTCGAAGTTTTGATAAACCTATCGACGAGGTACTTACAATCTGGATTCAAAGTTCTGATGGTCACCTTTCCCATCACCACAATCACATAAATGCACTTTTAGCACATTTACAGCAGCTTGCAGGGTCCCGTGGTCAAATGACTACAATTTACAAATGTCCTGCTGAAACCAGCATCTGCGTCTGGTTTTTGAAAAAAAAACGCTCCCATAACAAAAGATTGGTTCACTTAACATCCATGGTGTTCACTTAACAGCTGTTGCAGAAGCTGTAAAATTGGATCAGATATGTAATCAACCCATTTTACAAGGTTCATGAGTTACAACCATGATGGGCAGGCTCCATTATAGTTGTCACTTGAAAACTACTTATCAGAAGAAGTTGAGGCTGGCTCCTTCCCAATTCACTGGAGGCATAAGAGGGTTGTAGTTAGTTGCGAAGGCATATCTGACCCATTGCGACCCCATGGACAACATTCCTCCAGGCCTTCCTCTACCATCCCCCGGAGTCCATTTAAACTCACGCCAACTGCTTTGGTGACTCCATCCAGCCACCTCATTCTCTGTCATCCCCTTCTTCTTTTGCCCTCAATCTTTCCCAGCATTAGGCTCTTCTGCAGTGAGTCCTTCCTTCTTATTAGGTGGCCAAAGTATTTGAGTTTCATCTTCAGGATCTGGCCTTCTAAAGAGCAGTCAGGTTGATCTCCTCTAGGACTGACCGCTTTGATCGCCTTACATAAGAGGGAGAGGAGGAAAAACACAATTAAACTCGCATTTAAAAAATTTAAGAGCACATACCAGAAGAGAGGACGGGAGGAACTCAATTCGAAAAATATTAGACTGT